GTACACATAAATGAGAAGGGACGCAGTGTTTTTTATATATATATATAAAAAAGTTCCCAGATTATTGTATGTTTAAAATTCATGAGCCGCACAAAGGTCGGACTCTCCACCCTGTGAAATGTCATCATATAAGTCCTATGTTTTAATGTGGGCCGTCATTTCACTGTTACACCTGGTTACTTTTACTAACACTAGACTGTGCAGGTAGGGGGGGAACACAGCAAAGACTAACACTAGACTGTGCAGGTAGGGGGGGGGGAACACAGCAAAGATAAGTCGGTGAGAGAGAGAGAGAGAGAGGGCGAGAGCAGACGCAGCCGAGTGACGATAATAAAGAGAAAGAAGAGGAGAAAGATAATAAAACTTATGTTTATGGAGCAATAAAGGAAAAGAAGAATCACACACTTGTCTGATAAGATCATAAATAACATTGTTTTGCTTGACAAGTACTTCAAACTGTTGGTGGAATAAAGCTCTTACGTTCGCAGGCCGTAGATTTACGACGCCACGGGTTTTGGATGTGCGACGTGTGATAAATACTCGGGGGGGGGGGTTGAGTTCACTTCGAACGTGTGCACATGCCATTCGGACCGCGATGCGGAGTGCATGTGATGGAGGTGGCGTTGCTAGGAGCACCAGGTTGTGTGCAGACTTTGGTAACAGAGCAGAGACAGCAGCAGCAGCAGCAGCAGCAGGCTGGCAGTGGAGAAGAAAGGAGTGGAGCAATGCCAAGAAGATTCCCCTAGAGAGGGTGTAGAAAGGAGAGAAGGAGACAGACAGAGATGGAGAGAAACATGAGGGGGGCCACGCTGACATGGTAGTGTTTGCCGCCAGTACATACGGGAACAGCCCACCGACATATATACACCTCACGGGTTATCTCAGTTAGTTCGGCTTTGAAGGGAGATGGATATTGTGGCGTGGATGCAGAAAGAATGGTGATGATGGAACAGCAGGAGGGCAATGATGGCTACAAGGGTGACTGGAGGGATGAGACGGAGACGGAAGGAGATTGAGACAATCTGCTGGGGCTCATGTCTGCTGCCCCTTCTAATATTACCCATCTATTAGGTAAACAGTTTGCCTGTGTCCATCCAGCCTAGGTCACTTCCTCACCTATGCGTGTCACCCCGCTGCGCCTCTCTCCTGCTGTCTCCTCTCCCACTTCACTCTGCCTCTCCTGTACTCTTCCTTCCCTTGTTTTGTCTTTAGACAGGGAGTCGTGTGAACAGGCTATGCAAATGAGATGGTTATTACCCCACTGCTCATCAAGCCGCGCAGAAGAGACATTAATAGGCTGATGAATATGCATGTGAATTTGTTAATTAAGTTAATTATTCTGCTGAAAATGCATTTGTCTTCCAAGGACATCTTCCCCAGGATTTCAACCTGCTCCACTCATTAGTCATGCGATATTTCATACACACAGTGTGGAAAGAGAGGAAGAGAGAGAGGGAGAGAGAGAGGCAGACAGTGGGAGGGAGAATAAAGAGGAGAGGAGACAATGCTGTTTTTGGAAAGCGGGTGCCATGAACAGTTGGGGTTGTAAAAGTATGGGGTAAAAATAATGCAGCTTAATGTCACAGTGCTCACAATGGGATGCAAGGCAATAACAGCAAACCCCATCCTGTTTCCCAGAGGAGGAACATTATCCCACCACCCCCCCTCCCCCCACCCAAAAAAAAAGTCCAGACTGGAGTTGCTACTTTAGCGAGTTTTTAGCGTCTTTCCGTGGCTGCTTCTACCTCGCTGGTTACTTCTCCCTAATTGCTTATTAAAACCCTCTTAAATGAACTTTTTGTGCCAACTTTCCAACACATTAATTAATTGTTGTAGCCAATTAAGTGCCGTTGTGCAAATGAGCCTCATCACAAATGGTCCTATAGGGCCGACCCCTCCTTCTCCCCTCTCCCTCTGTCTCTCGCTCTTCCCCCTTTCCACCACCCTCCCAGCAAGTCTTCCCAGCTGCCCTCGCACTTCAAGGCACTAAGAGCCAGAGAAGCAGAAACTGTGTCCTGATAACGCTTCACCATTTTCTAGACATTTTCTGCCTCCCAGCTAAGTGATCTTAAACTTGTAAGTGTGAAAAACAAAAGGCTCCGTTGATTTCCTTTTGTGTGTAAATGACTCAGTTCAATCGACTGTGTAAGGAAACCTTACGTGGGATCAATTGTCTGCTTTTATGTGTTTATTCCTTTCCTGTAGCCCTGGTGTGCTACCCCAAAATAAATACATCTGACAATGCATGAAAGCTTTTCACATATATCCAGCCCCCGTGTTTAAACTGAAACTGAGACGAGGATTGTAGGATGTTGGATGTCTACGCCTGCACCATAATATTATAGGAAGAAAGTAGGGAAGACAAAGCTATAGGTCGGATTTATTTATCACTTGCGCTTACGCACAAGTGGGTAGTGTTAATGAAGAAGAATTTGTGCTGACAAATTTATAAATGCCCTACATACACAGTTTTGTAGGGCCGGTTTGATATTTTATTTATTTTAAGATACACTATGTAGGATAAAGCAACATCTTGCGTTTCATGGTTGAACACATCTAACATACTCCTATGCCCTTAGGTGAATCAGTGGGTGGGTCAGTGGTTCTCAAATTAAGGTGCCAGCCCTGACCAGAGGGCAGGTTTGTACAATGGGAATAGCAGTTTTGTATATGGTGCAGTGTTTAGAGTAGAGTTCAGTAGATTTTTGGAGCAGTAGCTGTGTATGCCTTAAAATGGGGGCAGTGAGACAATAGTACTATTTACAAAATGTGGGTCCCACAGAAGATACATGGAACCACTGCTTTAATTATACCCATAAAAGCGAAATCACAGCATGTGATATCTCTTTGTCATTCTTTGTCATATTGAATATAAACAAAAGAAAGATTTGAAGTTTATAAGCTAAATTAGCCATAAATGGGCCAGTTATCTTTTTTCTTCAGCTACAGTACATTTATTATACAATTAGGATATTCAATGATTTGGGTCAAACTGCAGAGATCTGTTCCTCTACCTAAGAGAATTAGATTCAAATGAACCTGTTTGCCGATGTGTATCTTGGAACGCCACTCAACCCTAGTTGAAATGTCTCACCACAGCTATCTAGCAGTAGGTTCAAGCTTGAACACATCGGGTTAGAATGTTCCAAAAAAAAAAAAAATTGTGCCAAGTCACAATGGCAAGAGAAGAATTGTAGAATTGACTTCCTTTGTTGTAGCTGTCATTTCTTGATGAAAACGATGGTATTTTTATTTTCTCAGCTGAGATATTTGTCTGAGTGTTAACAACACGTTGTCACGCCTCTTCCACACAGTGGCTGAACTTTCTTTTCTTCTGCTGCATGTCTGCATGACTCTGCCCACTCTCCTGCCATTCGGACATGGCACTGATACACCCACCAGCAGGATTAGGGAGGGTTTAGCCACTGTGCCAGCCTCACTCCCTGTGCCACCCCTACCATCGGCACAGAGGGGGGTCCCGCTTGGCATGGCAAGGTGAACTAGCCTCTGATTGATGGGCATGGTTTCAGCCCGCTACTGCGCTCCCCAAGGCCTGTGCCTCCCTTTCCTTTCTCCTAATGCTGTCTTGGCAGTAATGCCCACATCCTCTTCCATGCCAGCCAGCCAGCTAAAGCTCCTGGTGGGCACATCAATTACATCGCGGCACCTCCCCTCTTTTCTCATGTCTAACTGTGGGTCTGCCCACTGTCTCAGACGATACCAATCTGGTCTCTCTCAATCTTTGCCGCTGCTATCTGCAGCTATCTGAAAAGAGAGTTTTTGTGTGTACGTGTTAGTCTTATAAACATGTTCGCCAACATGGTGTATTTTCTGTTGTTTTGCATATACACAAATGCTCATGAATTCATGCATACTCTGGAGCATTTCTCTCTGGAGCAGGTCATAATGGTTGGTGTGAAAATCCTCCCAAGAGAGCAACTCATTGCTACAGGCTCAGCTGTTCGATAGGCTCAGGTGTGTGTGTGTTCGTGTTTGTGAATGTGCATGTGTGTATGTGTGGGTGGGTGGGCTTACGTCTTCCTGTTTGTATCAGGCTGTGGGAACCAGTTTGTTCCCAGAGAACTCTTATGGGGACATTTTGCAGATCCTCGTTGATTTTGATGGGATTTGAAGATGTCAGTCCAAGTCTTGTGGATATGATTAAAATAAGAGAAACGGCAGTGTGAGAGGGATGTGCATAAGGTTAGGGTGGACATGTATTCCTGCTAAAAATTGACAGATGTGTGTCTGTGTTTCTGTGTGCTTGAACTAGAACTACATCTAACAGATGTGTGTCTGTGTTTCTGTGTGCATGCACCTTAAAAAACTACATCTGTTGCAAACTTACCTTCCCAGTGCATAGATGTTTATCTATGTGATGTGGGTAAACAATATGACCACTCAAATGCTATTTTGGTGTGGATGTGGAGATGTAATGCTTTGTTCAACTTTTCTGTGGTTGGAGGCTACTGGTCTAGTGGGAGGGAATTATTTCCAGTTGTCATGCGCCATCTAATGTTTCAAATCTGTCACTGCAGCTTTAGATTCGCAGTCCTATTAAACGTATGTTTGAGGTATTTAAAGGGCCGACGTTTTGATCTAATATGGTACCAAAAAGTAATGTTTTTGTCAGACCAGTTAGAACCCCAGCTTTTAAATGTTGTCTCTCTCTCTCTGTTGTCGCACGAATCACAGTCTCCAAAAAATAGATAGATAGAAAGTAGAAACTGCTTATTTACTGATGATGCGCTTCGCCTGGATGGAAAGAGTTCTTGTAAATAATCTCCCTGTTCTGATTAAGACTATCGCGAGATTAAGCTGCGTTTACATGCCAAAACCGGACCCTTCAAGACGACCGTATCTTGCATATTAAAAGAAGTTAAGTTAATGTAAATACAATGTAAATCTGTAAAATATATTATTGTAAACCTGACAAATGCTCCCACGTACCTTTTACTGTATTACTACGCGTTTTTAGTGTACACCCCCTTAGGTTTAGACCACAGACTACACTACGGAAGCTCGGAAGGTCATGTTTGGATCTGGAGGTGGAGGACAATGGCGGCGGTTTCGGGTGTCTCTATGCAGAGCGGTAGCCCCGCTAGAGAACTCTCAGTCTCACTTCAGTCGGGAGGGAACCAGACTCATGGGGAGCGGCCCAAACCCGAAGAGGTCACAGGTAAAAATACAACCTATCTGGTCTCTTTTGTTTTGTTTTGGTTTGAAACAATGTCAGACAAAATCAGCTGGCGAGCGCGGTGGCTAAGGGCTAACTCTCAAACATTCACAAACTATAGCATTTTCACAGAAGACTGGTGTCATAATAGTTAGTAAAGTCGTGTGTTTTTGTCAACAATTACCAGGAGTCACTCGTAAAAAAACATTTTTCGTTCCGAGTGTTGTTTATTTGGAAAATTATAAGCTCACTCTATATGGTAAGCAAATGGCTAACGTTAGCAACTCGCTATACCCACCAATTTCGTATACATTTATTTCGTAAGCGTTTCTGTTAAACCCACCAATGTCTTTCGGAGTGATATTAAATTCATATTCTTTATTTTGTCATGTAACAAGTTGTATCGACGTAGCAGCTGTCAAGTGGCTTTTGATAACAACAACATGGCGATGATCAAACATTGCAAACTTAGTTTTAGTTTTAGTTCTGCCATAATAAGCATCTTCTTGTTTATTGCAGTTCATTTCTAAAAAAAATTTTAATGTCCAACAAAATGTAGGTCAGTATACTTACAGAAGAACTCAGTTGTGCACAGCCCAAGAACTAGGTTGAATTTCCAGACGTGGTAAAAGAGAATTTCAAATCAAAGGAGAAATACGTACAAAGGGTAAATGATTAAATTAAAAATTTATTTTTAAAAAATCCTTAAACGTTGAATTTATACTAGCAACCTATAATAACATTATGAAACGATTACAAGCATTTAAAGTGCACCTATTAACATAACAAAATACTATAAAATGACAAAAAATATTATTTTAGGGTTGCAAAGACAATAAAAATGTTATTATTATCACTATTGCTATTATTGTTATTTATTATTAATCAGTAATAATAGCAGCACTAATAATAAAATGATAATAATAATTACAAATTGATATTGTGTGAATTTGCACAAATCTTAAATACATTTCAAAAATATCTTATTAAATTGTATTCTACAGTTGTTTACTTAAGTATATTGATTAAATGTAAAGAAAAACCAAACATGAACAACCAAAATCTGAAATTTACATATCATTCTGTTCCTTGAAGTGATCTTGTGCTGCTATTATTTTCATGTTGTTAAATAGTCAGAAGAGTTGGAAAGCTCTACAGTTGGAAATGAAGAATGTCCTGAAAGAATGTTGTTGTTGTTTTACTGTGTACAAATGCCAGGTGTGTTCTTTTCACAGAGGTAGAGAAGCAAAGCCGTATGGCTGCTCTGCTCGAGAGGCTTCATGCAAAACACAATGCTGCACGGCCATGGCAGGAAACCTGCAAAGTCGTGCGTCAGGCCATGGTGAGATGGAGACAAAAGATTCAGACAAAAATCTTGTCATTTCTGTATTTCTCAGAGTTCAGGGGTTCTTTACATATTTCCTTAGTGGTCAGAAATGAGTAGATTTTGTGTTGTTTTTTTTATCCAGTTTGAATTTCCTTTTCAGAACAAAAATATCAATCATCTGTTCACTGCGCTGTGTTTTATCAACTTTATATTGTGTTAACCAACTTGATTGTGTTCTAACAGAACACACCTTAAAGCAGTACTTGATCCTGTTTTCATCCCTGATGTTTAAATACCTCAACCTGCTGAAATCTTTGACTTCCTCAAATAAACTACCCATCAGGCTATTACTGAGCTGTTGAACAAGCTGGTAAAAAGCTGCAGTGTTGGCATGTTTTCAAGGGAGTATGAGTATTTGAATGAACTTCCGGGCCGGTATGGGTGAGTCCGTGGAGAAAAATAACTACTAAAACCCCAAACAGCGTCAGATCATTTGCATTAAACACATATACTATGTGTTTAATGCAGCTCTGCCAGCCAAAGAGCCAGACAGTCTCTCATTACACAGAATCCGTATTCATAAGAGAGACTCGCTGTTATCGTTTTAAATATATATTTAAGGCAATTAATCACCGCAGTGCACAAACTGTTTTAGTATTAATAACTTGCCTCCTGGGCCGCTACGGAAATATGGGA